TAAAGTTGATAAATACCCTGCTGGATTCCAGACCAATTACAGTAACAGTAAATGATAATGTTTATTAAGCACTTACTATGTGCTGGATACTGTGCTAAGTTTATTATGTGCCATGCTTTATTTAGTGAATTCCTAACACTTTTATTCCTTTTTAATAATGAGTTAGGTCATAAAGCTAGTAAGCAACAGAGTGAGTATTTGTCCTGGACGGTCTGATTCCAGAGTCTAATCCCTGACTCTATTATACTGGCTCACTAAATGATACATTTCATTTGTGGATGACTCTGGCTTACAACCCTGATGATTCTGACATCAAATATTTTTTGGAAAGCCTGTTATGTGCCAAGACGTGCAGTGGGAAGAAGGAAACAAATAAGAATGTGATCTGAATCCTCCTTTTAAGGGCTAAAAAAGGAAATTTAGGATTCTAAAGAACGTGAATCATTTACCTGTTTTCTACAGTTATTTTTAATTTGGGGGATGGGGAATAGTATTGTCTTTTCCTTTATACCAATGATACTTAGTTCTAAAAACCTGTTGGTGGCCATAAGGACAAAACTCTAGATTAAATACAATTCTCCCCAGTAGTTTCTGAAAAGTAGAAACTGGGGACACTTTCTTGACTGAGCCTGCTTATTTGTAAATCCACGTAAATGTCAATTGTTTGAACCATGAGAGTAGCTGTGCTTAAACAGGTCCCCCTGACCTGCTGCCAATGTGCTGTCTTTGATTTTGCGCGTCTTTTACTAAGTTCTCATGTGATCTCATCTCACTGCCCCCTAACTGAAAGCAATTTTCATGTTTTATATTTAATCCTTTTGAGGCACGAAGCCAGGTGGCGAATTAATTACTTTTGTAGGTTGAGAAAAGATCCCAACTTATATTGTTATATTCAGCTAAAGTTGGAAGGCTATATTGATACCATTTCTGTTTTTATTTCATTAAAAATTGTTTAAAAAGTAGAGCAGTATGGTTTGGTGCCTGATTCTAAATGTTTCTAGGTAAAAATTGCTTTAATCACTGATAAAACCATGAAGGGCTATTTTTGGTTATAAGTCAGTTTCTTTTGGAGTAGATGACTGATTTCCTTGAAGGTGATATGGTTATGAGGCTTTTGTTGACTGGAGGTAGAAAAGTCTAGTTTGAAACTGGTAGAATTTACAAAGAAGGTTACAAGACACACTGAACAATCTGGAGAGAACACTGTGACAATAGATAGCATTTCCTGGAGAGGGAGACATGGAAGAGTTAAGAGAGCTCTGAATTTGAAGTCAGGACACACAGTTCTAAATCTTTTTTCTAGCAGTTACTTGAAATGTTCCTTTGGGTAAACTCTCTTAACATTGCTGAATTTTAGTTTGTTTGCATGTAAAAAGGGAGTTATATTTTTTAAAAGTTAATTCAGAATCTACTAAAATAAAGTTAATAAATTGTAACATTTAAAAATGTATACAATTACTTGATTTTAAAGAAAACCTGCAATATATAAATTGCAGACAATTTGAAACATGCTACAGATATCTGAGTCTGCTGTACTCAAAATTCATGACAAATTACTGTGGTTCTTGATGTACCAAATACTATCATTGCAGTTAGAGAAGAGATGAGTGTTGCTACCCTATTTTACAAATGAAGAAATTGTATTTTAAATGACCTGCACCTCATTCTTTGGAAAGAGGCAGAGAACACTGTTTTCTGACAAATACCCTTCCTATGAGTTCCTGTTCAGTAGCAAGCAATATAGTAATAGAAGGAAAGTCCTCTTTTAAATCAAGTGGAATACATCTTCCTTGAATGATTGAATGCAAACCTTGACTATGTAAGCATTTTCAAAAGAAGGTCATTGTCTAGGGAATTAATTTTCATTCTTGGCTCAACTATGCCTGCTGGCCATCAGAGCTTGCTGAAAATCCCATCTGTTTAGTTAGGGACTGGCCTGATTGATGGAGAAAGATTGATAGGAGTTAGAGGATAAATCTCTGTACCTAGGAATAAATTATTTAAGTGTTCTTTAGTTCTAGGTAGAAACTAAGTCTCTCCAGACGTGTAATATAAAGCAGGAAGTGAACGCTTTTATCTGAATATAGCTAAATAATGAAAGCCCTTGTGTATGCCACACATAATAGATGCTCAAGGAACTTTGTTCATTTTGTGAATTAAAAAACTTTTCCTTTCTTGAATAATCCAGATTGTTCTTAATAGCTACAGGTCTTACATACACTAAGTATTAACTCCTCTATGTTTTTTTTTACTCTATCTCCACGTTTCTACCAGCCAAGAAGCTTTAGCCAAGCCTTGTTTTGTGTAGTTTTATTCCAAAAAATTAATATATAATGCTTCGGTCAAATAGATGCTGAAACAAATTATTCCCCATTATCCCCAAGCCCATTCTGTGAGAGTTGTCACAGTATAAGAGTTTATCATTGGTGCATATATAAATGCATGTCTTATGTCACATTGCTAATGTATTTAACACATCTTTTCTGAATTACATCTAGAATGTGATTCCAGGACATAAAGCCAGTACTGAGAGCTAATTCTAGTGTATAAGTCCAAGAAAGCTGAGTTCAACTTAAAATCTGGCATGAAAGGAATCCATATTTTAAATCATAAACATTCTAAAATTTAAAAATATATACCAAAAAGCAAAACATTAAAAAATGCATAAAATTACTTGATTTTAAAGAAAACCTACAATATATAAGATTGACAATTTGAGTTTCATTTCTACTAAAAATCTATGAAACAATTGCAGCAAATTATCCTGTATTTGGTCTTCTTTTTCTAACATATCAGCATCTGTACCAAAAAGTAATTAATTCAGTAAAAATTTAACAAGCAATTATTAGTGACCTGTAGAGGTAAAGAATCTTGGCCGGGCATGATGGTTCACGCCTGTAATCCCAGCACTTTGGGAGGCCTAGATGGGCAGATCATGAAGTCTGGAGTTCGAGACCATCCTGGCCAACATGGTGAAACCCTGTCTCTACTAAAAATACCAAAAAAAAAAAAAAAAAAAAAAAAAAAAAAAAAAAAAGAGCCCAGCGTGGTGGCACGCACCTGCAGTACCAGCTACTCGGGAGACTGAGGCAGGAGTATTGCCTGAACTGTGGAGATGAAGGTTGCAGTGAGCTGAGATTGCGCCACTGCACTCCAGCCTAGCTACAGAGTGAGACTTCGTCTCAAAAAAAAAAAAAAAAAAAAAAAAAATCTTGGCTGAGTGCAGTGGCTCGTGTTTGTAATCACAGCACTTTGGGAGGCCAAGGTAGGAAGATTACCTGAGCCCAGGAGTTCAAGATCAGTCTGTGTAACATAGGGAAACCCTGTTTTGCTAAGTATTGAGGAAAAAGGGCAATGACCTAAGTCCTATGTTAACAGAGGCCATCAGTCTAATAATAGAAAAGATTAGACATGAGGATAATCTAAATATGAGGTAAAAGTTAATAAGTGACTGGGCGCAGTGGTTCACGCCTGTAATCCCAGCACTTTGGGAAGCTGAGGCGGGTGGATCACGAGGTCAGGAGGTCGAGACCAGTCTGTCCAACATAGTGAAACCCCATTTCTACTAAAAATACAAAAGTTAGCCAGGTACGGTGGTGCGCACCTGTAGTCCCAGCTACTTGGGAGGCTGAGGCAGGAGAATCGCTTGAACTCAGGAGGTGGAGTTTGGGGTGAGCTGAGATTGCACCACTGCACTCCAGCCTGGGCAACAGAGCAAGACTATCTCAAAAAAAAAAAAAAAAAAAAAAAGGTGGTAAGTATACAAATATAGTATTTTTGAAGATCAAGGGAAGGTGGGATTTTTTTTCTTACATGGTGGGAGGGGAGAAAGGGAAGATTAAAGATCTTGATGGAGGAGTTATCATTTGTGTTCACCCACCAAGAATCAAACAGTAGAGTAGGAAAGGCAATCATATCTCATTGCCTAATGTACTGCTCCCCTACCCATCAATCACAATGAAACTTGCTCCTTTCCCTTGCAGGCCAAGCTTCTTTATCTTCCCCCAACCTGCTGTGCTCTGCCATGCTTCTGTGCTATGCCAGACGCTTATTTCTTTTCCTGGAATATCTGTTGTCCTTTATATTTCTTGTCAACTCCCACCCTTCCTTCATGACTATCTAAAGACTCAATTTTCTTCTCCTTGTCTAGTGTCCCAAAAGTTTAGTCACTGCTTCCTCTGTATCTTTGTACATTTTGTGCATTCTCTATTACAATAATCATTACTCTGTTTTGCCATCAACTTTTCAAGTCTATTGGGAGTTTTAAGAAACATGACATATTTGTATGAAAATTGCTTATCACAAAGCCTGGTATGGGGAAAATACATGTAAGTTGAGTGAATGAATGAAAGAATAAATAAGGTGTGTTATTTCATTGTGGTTTAACATTTAAAATTTTTTTCACTAAGGAATAATAATTATGTATATTTATGGGATACAACGTGATGTTTTGATATATGTAATTTTAATTTGTATTTCCCTGATGACTAATATTGAATGTCTTTATATGTGCCTATTTATATATCTGCTTTTTGGTTAAGTGTCTGTTAAAATTTCGACAATTTAAAAATTTTTGTTTGAGTCGGGCACTGTGGCTCATGCCTGTAATCCCAGCACTTTGGGAGGCCGTGGCAGGCAGATCACCTGAGGTCAGGAGTTCGAAACTAGCCTGGCCAACATGGTGAAACCCCCATCTCTACTAAGAATACAAAAATTAGCCAGGCATGGTGGTGCACGCCTGTACTCCCAGCTACTCAGGAAGCTGAGGCAGGAGAATTGCTTGAACCTGGGAGCTGGAGGTTGCAGTGAGGTGAGACTGCGCCACTGCACTCCAGCCTGAGCAACAGAGCAAGACTCCATTTCAAATAATAATAATAGTAATAATAATACTTTTTTTTGTTTAATGGATTGTTTGTGTTTTTCTGGTTTCTTGGGATTTTGATTTATTTGTGGTAATTGATTATATGGCACCCATGTTTGTTAACTTTCTTATTTCCCAGAGGTGGAAGATGGTTAAATATGGTCCCAAATTTCTACCACCCTAGAAAGTGACAATGCTACTCACCCAATCAAGAGAGGTAGAGTCTATTTCTTCATCTCCTTGAATTTGTGGTGGCCTTGTGATTTGCTTTGGCCAATAGAATATGTGACTTCTAAGACAAGGCATCAAGAGGTCTCATCTCTACTGATTTCATCCTTTTGAATCTAGCTGTCATATGAACTCAGACTTATGAAGCAGCCCAGTTCTACTTCCTGGAAGATGGAGAGATAGGCTAAGTTATCCTAGCTGAGATGTCAGAAGACCCACCCAGTCAGCTCACAGAATTATGATAATAAATGGTGGTTGTTTGAAGGCACTTTTAGGTGATTTGTTTAGGTGAGTTTTTAGGTGATTTGTCACAAAGCAATAGATCACTTTTTGAGCACTTTTTGTGCTTTGAAAACATTTGTCACTGTTTCAAAGAATACTGTGTTCTTTGGACCACTGTATATATGGTGCAAACTGTTGCATTAGGTTGCAATAGATGTATTAGGATTGAATAACACTGAAGAGTGTATTTCATTGGATTGGGGTTGGGCAAAACTAACATTAAAGCATTTGATACTTTCGAAAAACAGACCAAGTGGAAACACAACCCTATCTTATGACCAGTGTTGTTTGCACTACTTACAACACAAAGTATAACTAGGGAGAAAAATAATACAATTTTTACGATTTCAGGTAGCATGAAGTTAATTCTCAGGATCTGTGCTCTAACCTCATCATAAAGTAGCATTTAGAGAATCTTCTAGTACATGGAAAAAGTGAAAAAATTAACAGTTTGCACCATGTATATAGTGGTCCAAAGAACATAGTATTCTTTGAAACAGTCACAAATGTTTTCAAAGCACAAAAAGTGCTCATATGCCAAATAAATAAAAATTTTAAAGCCTGGAACGTTCTGACAAATGTTAATCTTTCTTTGTGCAATCTAGAAAATTTATTGAGTAAATTTGCAGACATACAAATGAATGTGCTATCCTTGGGAGAAAAAAGTTTTGAGAGTGTTAGGTACACAGTAGACCCTCAAGCATTTGTTCATTGGATGAGCTGTTCCTTTACTCTGTTGCCTTTCTTCGTCTGTTAAGCTCTATCACATTTTAAAATTCTACATTAAGAAAATGAGAAATGTTACTAAAAACATTTGTTTATTGGCAAATATGCAGAACTCCACAACCACTATGCATTTAGAACCTTTATCCAGGCAGACAGCCCCTTGTGAATTAGTAGCTAGATAATAGAGGTACTCCAAATAACATCTGCAGAAACTCATTTAGCACAAAATTATATTTCCACTCACTAGACAATTAGAACATAGTGCATGCAGGGAGGAGGGGGAGGAAATTATCTATCAAGAATATCTCAAGGCAGTTGGCAAATGTCCAGGTTTTAGATGAACCTAGTTACTGTTCTGTTCTAAGCATTACAAAAGTAATTTTCTTTCTGAAATTGAAAATTAATGTAATGTTCCTGAAGGGAAACATTTAATAATAATCAAGTCAAGGCAGAAGGCACTTGATTCCCTTCCATGACCTTAGTCCTAATACATTAGTAACCCTGCGGCTCTACTCTTAACTAGATTGTGGTTCAGAGACTAAATCAGGAAAGCATGAAGTTCTGATGCTCTCTTTGCCCCATTTCTTATGATAATCAGTGTTGAGCTGATAGATATTGCTAAAAAGCATAGTAAACCTTTTTGTCTCAATTTTTTTAAAGAAATCAAGATTTTGGTCTAATAACATCACTCTATATTAAAAGAGAAAAATCATTTTAATGAGTTATGTCAAGATCAAATTCTGGTTAATATATATCTATTTAATAGATCATAATTAGATATATAAAACTGAGATAGAGAATATATGTCAACATTTAATAAGAACACTGTTTTGCAATAAAATACCATGCCAATAGCAAAGGAAACAATCATAAATAAATTTGCTAGACACAGTGGCTCATGCCTGTAACCCCAGCACTTTGAGAGGCCTAGGTGGGTCAATCTCTTGATCCCACAAGTTCAAGACCAGCCTAGGCAAGATGGTGAAACCCCATTTCTAAAAAAAATACAAAAATTAGCCAGAAATGGTGGTACGTACCTGTGGTCCCAGCTACTCGGGAAGCTGAGGTGGGAGGACCTCTTGAGTCCAGGAGGTATAAATTGCAGTGAGTGGCAATTATGCTACTGCACTCCAGCCTGGGCCACAGAGTGAGACCCTGTCTCAGTCAATCAATCAAACAATCAATTTATTAGATGCCCAGAAAATTCAATTCCATTATTACAAAACCATTAAATAAACATAGAACTTAACTGCAATCTTATTACAAATCTAATAATTTCTTGCTGTGAAAAAAACTCTACAACCATTCAAAATGACCAAATAGTATTTTACACAGTTGTAACAAGAAAAGTGAACATGTTTAAACAGGAGATAACTCAATAATTATAGTTTTTTAATTTAATCCATTATATTTTAAGTTCTATGGAACTCCATATATCTAGAACAATTATGAAATCTTGAAATCATTTCTTCCAAAGCATTCCTGACAAGTAGTCTTCTCACTCGAAATTATTTTCAAAGACGAACAAGGAATTAATTCCACACGAGACAGGACACTTCACTGTTTGACAATTTTAATTTGTACCAAATTTTCATACCAGGAGTTCTGGTTCTGCCTGACAGTGTAGATTCCTTACACAACTTAGTCCTTTAAATATTTGTCAGTAACTATTATAGCATGAGCAAATTTGCCTTTCAGAAAGTTCTCTTTGGCTTCAGGGTGAAATAAACTGAAAGGGACAAAGACGAAGGAAGTTAGGAAAGGAACTAGACTGACAAAACATAAGAAAGGGAAAGAAGTAACAACTTCTGGCTTCACATTTCCAAACTGTTAACTTTATTCCATTTATAAATTCTATATGTGGTTGAGATAGTAATTAAATTGGCTAACCATTTGGGAAACAACTTTTAAGTTACATTCCTACTACACACAAAATACACCAAAATTAACTTGAGATGAATTAAAGATTTAAGAATAAAAATAAAACCATTAAAGTAATAGACAAATTATAGAATAATTTTTTTTTGAATAATTTTTTTTTTTTTTTTACTTTTGGGTGGAAAAACCTATTTTTGGCATTACATAAAAATTAAAAATATAAGAAAAGATTTTTAAATGTAATCATTTAGCAAGTGTAAATCTGTGCCCAAACTTGAGTATACAGGTAATAAAACTTTGTTTCCTTTAAATTAATCTAATTCTAACCTTATTATAATTGGTACTCTTCCCTAAGATTGCACTGAAATTAGAGAGACTTATATGGTAGCTAGAAAATTAGATGGGTTGGGAGGTGGAATGGGGAGGCATGATGGGAGGTAAATATCAGTGCTTTTAATTTCCAAGGAATTTCTCACATTGCCATCCTCAATATCTAAGTCCATGGATGGTCTTTAAGTCAGGTAGCTGTCTCTATGACTTCTGTGTCACATGGGGACATAGGGAACCAGCCTCCTTTGCCCGGGTGCTTAACATATCCCTTCTTCTGTGATCCTGCCACCTCACCAGCGAGCTGCCAGAGGCAGCTCTGAAACCAGCTCCTCTGAAAAGCTCCTTATAGGGATGGGAAAGCCCCAACACTACTTCCTGTTTCTCTACTCTACTTCTCCTCTGCCACCTGTCTTTCCCTTTTCCTGTTATTATAAACTTTGATGGTGCATTTTAAAATACCCAAATTATTTAAAATTGCAAAAACTGTTAACATTTCCCTCAAGGGCAAGGAGGGCTTGATCTTCCAATTCTCTTTGGAAAAAATATTTGAAGAAATAAAACTGAAAGGTTAGCATTCCATACTAAATAGTCTTAGTATTCACATCATAACTACAGAAAAATTTCAACCTTTTGTGTAAAAAGAATCAGGTCAAACAAATACTGAAAGTGAAAACAATACTAGGGGAAATTACCACAAGCTATAGAAATCTGTATAATAAACAGAGAAAGAGTTTCTACAAATAAAAAGCAAAAGACAGCATCTCATGGAAAAGTTGGCAAAGAGTATAAATAAGCAATTTAGGGGAAGAAATAGAAATTATCATTAAATGGGAAAAGTTGCTTATCCTCATTAGAAATTAAAAAATATAAACTAAAATAACTGTTATCATATCAGTCATATTTGCTTTTTATATTATTTTTTAAACAATTTTTTATTTTAACTGAGCCAGATAAATACAGTTTCAGGTGTTTACTAGGGTCACTATTTACTTATTTATTTAGAGATGGGGTCTCATTCTGTCTACTAGGCTGGAGTGCATGATCATAGCTCACTGCAGCCTCAAGCTCCTGGGCTCACGTGATCCTCCCATATAGGCCTCCCAAAGTGCTGGGACTACAGGTGTGCACCCCCATGCCTAATTTTTGTATTTTTTTGCAGAGACAGTGTCTCACTATGTTGCCCAGACTGGTCTCAAACTCTTGAGCTCAAGGAATCCACCTGCCTCAGCCTCTCAAAGTGCTAGGATTACAGGCATAAGCCACTGTGCCCCACTGGCTTTTTTATTTTTAAGTGTGAGACCCAATATTCAGGCTGGGGACTAGAGTAACACAAATTACTTGCCTCCAGCACAAAATTTAGTAAGGGGCCAAAAAACTCAGTAACCAGGATGAATAAGATTTTGATGCAAATTAATGCAAAAGATCCATAATGAACAAAATATCAGCCCTGCACTTATATGATCTTAATTCTGGCCCTGCAAATATTGGCTAATATCAGGAGAAATAAACACTCACATACACTGTGAATGACCTATGAATTAGTTGGCAGTTTGGCAATATACATTTACTATGGAGATATACATAGCCCTTGATATAAAAATTTCATTTTTGGGTATATATATTAATTTTCATTTACACACTGTTTAAAAGAGAAAAACATTGAAAAGAATGATAAACAATCTTTGAAATAAATTGTCATAGCCATTCACCAGAATGATATTGAACAATTAAAAGTGATATAGATATATATGTTTTTACCTAGAAACTTGAGCC